GGCATATATTTGTTTAGTCAGTGATAGGAAGAAGTTAGTATCAGCAAGCTTTATTACTGATGTTCATAGCTGATAATTATACACTTCTGTGTATACTGTATTTGCACAGTAAAAATACATACATGTAAACATAGTAATAGTTCTTCATATTTCCCTTCTGGCAAACAATAGTATTTTTGTTTTTCTGAGTATGTTAATGTGTAAAAGATACATGAGTCCCAGGTAGGTGTTTAAATTATGGGTGTTAACAAATGGCAAATAGACTTAAAAAAAGGAGGGGACGGAGGGGAAAGAAATTAAAAAAAAAAAAAAAACCACCAACAAACTTCTTCAGGGATTTACATTTTATTTTTATAGTTCTTTATGGAGACCCTTGCTTACACAGTTCTTGCTTTTGAAATTGTTGAGTTAGTGTCGCATCAGTTTCAGGTGTCTGTATTTTTGGGGGAAGAGGAGAGAGAATGGTCTGAGGTCTAATCAGGTAATGATAATTAAAATTTTTATACATACCTACACAGGCTTCATGCTTTTTGGCCATTTGTGAATAATGGAGCAAAGACTCATGGGTGAGCTGGAGTATGGGGTGTGTATGTGAGTGTTAGGTTGTGCTGTAAACTAGACCCCTGAATACATATGGGTCAAAATAATCTTCTTGTTTGAGGGAATACTAGTCTTGCTTTGATTTTTGCAATTTTCTGTGTCTAAACTTTGCTCTCCCACTTTCTACCTGTCCATCCAAATAACTATTGCTGTTTTGTAATGCCTATTGTTGGCACCATCTTTGAAAAAATTTGATAGAAGAGATAAGAATGATAAAGGAGGTATTATTACTAAGGAAGTGTAGCAGACCTAGTCCTGTTACCAGGTTCATTTGACCTTGCCACTGCAGTCTCTAGTCATAACTTGTAATTGATATCGACAATGATCTTAACTACATGAGAGGAAGTTCTCATTCCCATTAAGTTCAGGACAGGTCAAAAGCACGCCAGCTTTGCTATTTTCTTGCAAATCTTATGCCAAATACCAGTTGTTGAATTCGTACAAGTGGCCAATATTGGTGAAAGCCATGCGGTATAACTGTGCAAGAAGTTTTACTCAATATATAAGGAATGAACATTGTCTCTTGGAATGTTGATTGTAACATGAAAATGATGAGAATAGATAACTGTAATGTTAAAAATCCTTCACTGAATGAGTGTTCATGTCCATGGGCTGATTAGGCTTTCACAAGTTCAAAAAGCCATAGAGTGCTTAGGAAGAGAAATTGAATAAAAAGAGAAAATTAATTCAGAAAAAAACAGTAGTTACAGATGTGGAATTGATTAGTCACTGGTATTTGTTTCAGACATGGGAAAATAATGGTAATACTAGTACATATATATGAAGATGAAATCAGAGATCAGTTTTACACTTGGTTGTGAACAGGTTGTCCTCATAAGCTTCCATATCTGCTAAAAATAGTGGATTTTCAAGTTTAGATTAAGGGGACCACTATAGGCAAGCCTGGTACTAGGCACTGTCAAAAAACTGCAATAATGGTAAAACTGTGCCTGATATCCAGGTTTGTAATTCCTGGAACAACATTCTTTCTCAAAACTTCATGTACCTTGATCTAGACAATTTAAAAACAAATCAGATTATCTATTTGTGAAAGGTTTAATAAAGAGATTAATATGTGGCAAGGGTATACTTCCTTAAGTTATTGGAAAGATTTCAGGGCTGTTTCAAAATCATGATTCTTCTACAAAGACTGAGGCGAATTAAATTCCTTCTAGCATCTTCTTATTTCCAATAAAATACAGAAGGAAAGATGCACATACTTGAGATATGCTCTAGGAAGGAATTGGGCTCTCTGCCATGACAAGCATGATATTGGACATACGGCAAGAGCACTTTGGCAGTCCAGCCAGAAAAGTCTCTCCAAATGCTGTTAGGAGGGAGAATTTAAGGAATTTAATGACATAAGATATACAAAAGAGCAGCCTGGGCTATACAAGAATCATTAAATCATCATTTATGCTCTGAAATGTTTAAAAAGCAAGAAGTATAAAACTGGATTATATTTTTTTTTAAATAGGAATTGAAAAGATTTCCGTAAAAGAGTGAATATTGTTGCAGCCTAACTGTAGTAATATGTGTGTGTTATAAAAGCACATAATTGAAAATATACTCAGTAGATAGTTATGAAACCAAGACAGGCAAACTGAAAATGGCAGATGTACACTGAATACAAGTGCTGGGGACATTGTTACTGGAAGGGTTCCTATTTATGACTTCAGTGAACTGCTGGAGCCCGTAACTTCTGTGCTTTAACTTCTCTGTGTTTCTGCTTAATTGTGCTTAAGATTCTAGAAAAGTAAAAATTTTATTCAGAGATTTTGGTTTAAAACTGTAATTAGAATTTTTTTATTATTTATTAGTATTAGTATTTAACCCAAATATGTCCTTGAAAGTACATATTCTTAATTATATTTCAGTTTTACATTGCGCCTTTAAATGAATAAATTTTTAATTTCCTTCTTGTGCGCTCTTCTTGTTCCTTAGATAATTATGCAGTTTTGTAATCTGCATATGGCCCCTTTTTTCAATTGAATAATTTGCTTCAAACAGCAAGATATTAAAATGTTGTAGCTAATATGAAAAGCTATGTAATTGTTGGTAACTAATTGGCTGGTGATTGTTGCATTACCAGTCAGTTTTGAATGCTTTTAATACAGGTATGTTTTGAAAATATTCCATTAATTTGTTTCTATAGAATTGCATTAGGGGACCTCTGAAGATGCACAGAATTATCCCACACTGTTGCTTAGCTCAGTGTGAGAACATGTCCTTCTGCTTGTGTTGCTCTGTATTTTCTGCTCCTCTTAAAAGCTAGCTGACAAGAACTGTTTAAAAATAGCAGGCCAAGGGCAGGTGACAAAATGTCACGCAAGCAGCACCTGGTCCAGTGACAGCCTGGAGGGAGGAAAAAACCAAACCCAGATGTCACAGATACGATTCTATTTCTGAAGCTGGTCAAACAGCAGAATTTCAGCTTCAGCAAAGGAAAAGAGAAGGGCCCATCTAAGCCTTGTACATTCAAATTTTGTTCTAGTTTTCATAGCAGTTCCCTTTTTTTCTATTACAAGTATTAGTTTACAAGTGTAGATTATTATATACACCTTTTCTCTTTACAAGTAATACCTGTAACCTCATGCTCATTAATATGCAGTTAAAGAAAAGGGAATTAATGTCAATCTGGCAAGATTTCTGAAATATTATAGCACAAGCTTATACTACCTGAAATAACAGCAGCCTTAACGTTTCTGCAGTGCGAGATTAACGTGAAAATATGTATAGGAGAATTATGTCTGTAATTAGGAAATCTGAAGTAGTTAACGAAGATCTCTTCAAAAAGTTTTGCTCAAGGAGTTGGAAAGTAAAAATGGAAATTTTATTTACCTTCCTTCTGCCTCCACTTCTTTCTGGAGGTGCTGTTTGCTTCATAATATTTTTGTGGCAGCACTTTTTTCTAGAAGAGTGGGAAAATTATAATGTGAAGAAAAAATATATGGTTTCTTAGATTGCTTGTGACTTAGTTTCAGAAGTGTACTGAAACTTCATATTGCATCTGTTCAAAAAGAATATTAATTACAGCACAGCAGACTCTGTGAGTGGAAATAGAAGGCTTTAACTTATTGATAGGAACTAAAAATGTTGGAGAAGATTGGCGTTAGTTCTGCTTTGTCAAAGCTTAATTGTTAAAACTTGGTTTAGCAGAAGTACAGGAATTTAACAGTTATATTGGTTCTTCAGTATAGTGAGTGGGTTTTGAGCTTCCAGATTTGAGTGCCAATGTAGCAAAGAAATGTGAACTGCCTCCTTAGCTCCCAAACTTAACCACAGATCTAGAGATACGGAGAGCATGTGAAATGGATCACACCACTTGTAAGTAACTCAAGTTACTTACATTACTTCGTTGAAATACATGTTTATGTGGCTGTAATGATCCTTTTATATCTTTTTCCAAACAAAGACTAATATCAGTTACGGCTTTCAGATTGTTTTGGGGGGTGGAGTGGTTAATTAAGAAAGTCCTGTTACAAAGTTTCTTCGGGGTGAGTTTTTAATACTTAATCTGAGTTAAAAAGTAGCTAAAAGTGAAACTAATCTGAACAGTAGTAGAGTTGGATCATTTCTTGCTTTGAAGGTAAAAGTAGAGTTCAGTGGACTCTCTCCTTTGAAACAAAGTAACTGTATGTGAATTTTTTCCAGCTTCTATTCCTGAAGTCATCAGAGATCTTCTTAAGCCAATCTTTCAATTGTTAGATCTCACCTGAGGAAATTGGTACTATTTTGCATTTCTAGCTTCCTGGAAACTGGCACCAGCAGAGTTGATTTGAATTTCATGGTTTTTTGTATATGATGGTCCCATATTATGGGTCAAGAATAAATATTTTTCAAAGTACATATGAACGTTCTCCATGAGAACAACGCTCTCTCCAACCCAGTATCTTATCTCAAATATTAAGTGATAGCAGATTCTTAGGGAAGAATATAAAAACAGGGTAAGCACTCTGTCTCCAGTGATCTGTTAACTCAAGAGCTTCTGGTGTCACAGATAGTATGGAAAATAGTGATTTATTTTTACCAATTAAGTGGAGTTTTTGTAATGCTGTACTTGTTATTTGAACCCTATTATAAATGGCATAACTGCAGCAAGGTTGACCTTTGAGGCCTTATTTTGAAAGGGTAAACGTAATACTTTCCTACTACAAAGCAAAGGGATATATTAAAAAAATTATTATTTCATTGTTTATTTTGTGATTTTCACTATTTCAGGTACATAACACTAAAGGTACACTAAGGTTAAATATCTTAAATGCGTATTCTTGGGAAGCTGTCTTCAGTAGATGGAAGATTCAGTTACCCTGACTGTTCATCCCCTTTAGCAATTTTTCATATTAATGAATTCAGTTTTGAAATAAAAACATTAAATATAGCTTTTATTTACATTGCAGGGCGTATGGGAATAAACTTCCATCATCCAGGAACAGACAATATTATGGCTCTTAATAGTAAGTAGTTAATATCTAGTGACTAATACCATGTTGAATATTATTTCTTATGTTTACTGTGTACGTAGCTGTGTAATATGTGTAATAACATTTGCATGGAAGTTTGTGTACTGTCTTAAAATAATTTTCATAAATCAACTATCTCTGATTTTATTGGTAGAATTGGTGATTCTTAATATTAGCTTTATAATAGCTTTATATTTTCCGCTGGAAGCTTCATAATGCCTGCCATAGCTAATATTACAAAACAATCTCTGTTGTTCCCTCTTTTGTGGGGGTGTGTGTTAAATCTAACTTTAATTTCTGATATCTCTCCAGACATATTTCTTGTGTTGGGATGAGTTGTTACAAGTTTTGTGTACAATTACGTTGACTGATGGAGTTTACTTTGTTGGTTTCCCTAGAGCATTATGTAGACAGGACTGGAGAGAATGTTCAGACATCTAAATGATGAGGGAAAAGCGGGGCTGAACTTCACTGAAAGATTATCGCTTTTGTTTGTGTTGGAAAATTAAATAGAAAAATCCTGTCATGAACACATGCATTAAAAAACCTGCCAAAATGCATCTGGAAGCTCTAGAGACAGCCTCGCATCACGTAGTGGGGGGGTGGTGTGGGAAGTTAGGCACCACTAGCATAATAATGTACAACTGAACTATGGAAATCAAAGCATAGTTTTTGTCCATCTAATCCTAAGAAACACCACCTATTTTGAAGTGTTTGGTTTTCCTTACAGTGTTGTATTAGAGGTGTTAAAGTTAATTTCCTAATGTCTCTAAAATTTTTTGCCTTTGCACTGTCTATATAAGTTAGACTGTATAGTTGAAAACTGCAGGGTTTTGTGTAGTACCAAACAGAATTAAAAAATAATTTATAAATGTGAAGAACTGAAAATATGTAATAGACAAGATGCAAAGGTTTTAACATTTGGCTTTAAATGCCAGCTTTTGGAACCTATAAGACTTTGCTTGTGCTTCTTTTCTTAGTTTTACACTGTTAATGATGAGGTGATATTTAGCAGAGTTTCTGTTGTTGTAGTTAGCGTATATGCCCCATTTTCTTATGGACACATGAAATTATGGGAAATAAAGTGATTAACCGGGAGAAATGCTCCATTTAATTCAAGATTTTATTAAAAGAGGAAGCTGTTCATGTGGGGGGGGGTGTAAATAAGTTGTACACGGTACATTCTGCTGCTGTTTGATGTGAATTCTGGTCTGCGAATGCATTTGTTGTTCTAATGTGCACATTTCAATAAGCTGATTGCAATAGTAATATAATTGTGAAGATGGGAGATTATGTTTGAATTTTGAGTTATTTAAAAAAAAATAATGACAGTTCCTATGGAATAAATAGCAGTATTTCTTACAGAGTCTTATAGAGATTCTTGAGAGGAATGAAAAGCTGATACAAAAAGCTTTACTATATACTGTGCTATCATTTTGGGACAACTCACTTTTATCCTAAGTAGATGAATATTTTCTATTCTAATTTCTGTCATTGGTAGATAAACTTTAAAAAAAAAATTGTCTTATTAATGGAAATAATATTTAAGAAAATATTTCTTGCTCCGTGTCTAATTCCTTTGAAATTTTGATAGCAGCTATATAATGTAATTATAATTATTTAGATCCTTTGCAGCTATAGTCCTGGTATATGGCTAAAAGATTAGTATAGGTAACTGAGGGACCTAAGCAAAATATGTTTATGCATTTCCAGTATTTTAAATATTATGGGTTTATTGAAATACTGTTTACAGACTTACATAAATCTGGAATCATAAATATGCAATTTATGCAAAATAGTAAGGAATGTTCTTTTGAATGAAATTCCGTGCAAATCAAAAGTCTGGATAACTTTCCATATATTTTGCCTCTCCTGCATCTCTTCTCCCTCCCATTCTTTGTTAGGCAAGGCCACACCATTTTTGGCCATTGCTAAGAGCCCAGAAGCCAGAACTGTTGTACTATGAATCCTGTTGGTTTTTGCTCTGAAATCTTTGAAGAGTTGAGAATAAAAGCAAATATTCACATACAAAAGCTTAAAAATTACTTTCTGTGATTTAAATCCTCTTTTGTATGCAGCTAAAACTGAGAAATTTAGAACTATGCAATTCCCATGTGATCCATTACCTTTGCCATGGGGAAATATACTAAGGAAAGCTAGTCCAAGAAGAAATATTCTTTCCTGTACTGTAATGGTTGTAGTTTGGGTTTAAAAAAAAGAAAAGAAGTAAAATAAAGTAAAATAAAAATTTCCAAAAGAGATATCATCCCAGTAATTTTTGGAACAATTTGGAGAACTTCTGTAACTTTTAAAAATCACAATACTTGTAATATCTATATGTAATTTCTGTGAAGCCGAACACTGTCTGCTGAATCTGCAGTTCCAACCTTCACATTCTATAGTCATTGCTACATAAGCATTTTTCTCTTTTCCTGTGAAGACACAATAATCTTTAAGATTTATTACTCGAAGCTCAATTTCTTACTAACAGTGTGTGCAATCTTTTGAAGCTGGAAGACAACATAGACTCATGTCAACAGCAATGCAAGACTTCATGTGTTGTAGGGAGGAGGGAAGTTTTCTGAGGCGTGTTTGTCTCTTTAGCTCCTTCTCATCCTTTATGGCAAGATATTCAACTGTACTTCAGCTGGTGTTCTTGTTTATCGATTACAGCCTTTTGAAACTAGGGATTTTCCTGACTGACTCTCTTGAGCTACTGTCTGTAGATGTTGAAGGGGATGGTTTAGTTTGAGGGAAGGTGTTACTTGCTTAGTTGGCGGGGCTTAGTGTAGAGCATACAAGCACCATTTTGTTCAAAGGTGCAAAGGTATAAATCATCATCATTTCAAGGCACTGAATTCTGAAATAATAAAATCAGTGAGACAGAAGAGAGTACTTTTAAATGCATAATTATTATGGTTTTCTTCTTGTCATGAATGGCATTTTGCTTGGGTACATACACAAACTGTTGCACATGTGTATAAGCACATTTATAATGTAGAAGTGCTTAAAGTTCTCTATGAGAATTAGGCTTCTATTGAGGAATGCAGTATTCAAATTCAAAGACATCTGAGCATAATCCTGAAGAACATGAACATTTAAACAAAAGGAGATGCAAACATTTAAATTTGAAACATTGTGCAAAGGGAAAAAACTATAGCTTTTGTCTCTACTAGCTCTAATTGAAATTTCTCTAATTGAAATAGTGTTTTTAATCAAGTAGTGACATCTGTTTGTTAATTTTTTAATAATGTCATTCATACTGAGCTAAACAGCAGAACAATTATTATAAATTTTCATTTACAGAACCTTGTTAAATACAATTGATACTGTAAATTCTAGGGGAAATGTGGCATAAATTGAATTACTGATTATTTATGTAAATTCATGTATGAACTTAAAGAGAAACCATCTATTGATACTTTTAGTAGATGTTTGCAATGCTAATTTAAAGTTATGTTTACAATACTAATTAAAACCTGAAAAAAAAATTAACTTGCTTTACCAAAATTAACTCAAAGGTGTCCTCTATCCCCTTCTCTTGCTAGTATTCACTCCCATTTGCAGTTGTATATTTCTGCAGCCATCACTTCTGTTTGGGGGGCACTGGACATTCCCTTGAGTTAATAAGTGCTTCTTTTTATTTAGCTATATAAAGAGGACTAAATGATTAGTGTGAATACACAGTCACCTACGTGCTAGGTAGTGAGCTATCTTCAATGCTTGTGAACTCCAGAAAGCTAACAATAAACTTTAGTGGGAGAGGAGCTGGGGAATAAACGAGGGTGTGCGACCTTTCTAATTAACCACTGAACTGTGCTGTTGGGATCCCAAATGAACTTCTGTAAAAAGAGTTTAGACTGAAAGTAGACCAACAAACAAGAAAAACCCCTTTGTGAAATGCTGGAATTTTGTTTTTCCTAAAGCTCCTCTGTACAGTGACTTTTCACTACTGTTGGGCTTCAAATGTTCCATCTGCTTCCAATGTTCATTCTTGTCTCATATGAAAATGTGTCAGCTGTGAGGTCTGGTACTGTTTGCTCTCCATCTGACTGTCTTTTCTTCTTTTCATTAGTGTAATTTGGTTCTGCTTGTTCCGAATAAAATAATTTGAAAAATACATTAAGGCAAGGGTTTGAAGCACCTTTTTAGATGTTTGTGTAGAGATATTTGGTTTGTTTCATTAATATAGATAATTATATGTGGATGTCGTCATGCCATGACAGAAAATGTAATGGCAACAAAACAATTTCATTTTTTGTTTTTATGCTTCTGAGGGTTTTAAAATTGTCATGTTTCTTCAAGAGCTATTATACTTGACTCTTCCTATATTCTGATGTATTGTTTCAAAACACATATAGTACTTAGATACAACCAAGTTGCTGAAATACCATTTTATAGTTAAATCTTTTGCCATTGCTATTGGTATACCTTGAAATGAACCACTCTGAATAGAATGTTTATTGAATTATTTTTGTCTTGCAAGGTCTTGGCTTGGCAGTTTAATAGCTAATAAAAGCTTGGGTTTTGTAGCCATGAGATTCTGGGAAAATGTGCGGCTAAATTTTGAGAGGCATCAATCTCTTCTAATAGTTTGGTACCTGCCTATAGGAATTTGCTGAGCTCTTTAGCCCAACAGCTAACCCAAGTCAGTAACCCAAGTCAGGTTACTAATGTGTTACTGGCTAATTAAAATATAAGGAATAAAGGGCTCTGAGAGAGCCAATAAGGTTTGCAAAACTAGACCCTGCTTAAATGTGAAGAGATCAGAGTTTGTTTAACTGGAGGGAAAAAATGAATGATGTGAAATGTGACATAGCAAAGGCAGCAGGGTTCGTAAGAGTCCTGGAGTGTGCGAACTGTCACTTGATACATAACCTTGCTAAGTTTTTCAGAACAAGCTGTACAAACAGTTAGTATTGATGCTGCCTTGGGTGCTGTGAAGCGGGCTAGCTGCTATCTCAAAGTCCCTTCTATATATGTTTAATTAAAAA